ACACACACACACACACACACACACACACACACACACACACACACACTCAACAGTAAATGGACTCGGACTTAGCAGATTATATTTATAAATACATGTGTGCACATATGCATACATAGAAGTATTACACATACAACAACAACAAAGGAGTAAATTTAAGTGAGCGTTATGTGGGACTGAAATGGTTTAACTGAAATTCTCAAAAATAATGCTTAAAAATTTTATATGTAGTTATATGCAGTACAAGTTCAACTGTGTACAAATGCTTAGACATTACAACTTGATAGAAACTCTCTGTAAAGGGACATTAAAGAATTACCTATTCCTTTTCATATTTTCTCTAATGGACACATTTTTGTATTATTTCTAAGAAAACTTCATATGATATACACTGAAGAATAGACCTCTTAAAGGTAACCAGAAACCAATTTTCAGAATGAGTGATTAAAATGAAACCATAGCAAAGACACACTTACCATCACAGTAAAGGGAAATATAACTTCCTAAGTCATCAGACATGTGTCGGATCACATTTCTACCCATCTGAATACCAAGGAAGATCCAATAATCTACTGCTGTGCCAAGAATTCCAGTAAGTAAGAAAGATAGTTCGTGTTTGAATACCTAGCATCAAGATGGAAAAAAAATGTTATTGAAATATTAAAACTACAAGACATTTTTAATGTTTACTTTTACTATTTTTTGAGAGGTCAATGACTAAAAATAAAGGGTATGTTAGTAATAAAAAATACGAACAAATTACCCCTTTCTCCATCTATGCCACTACATAGTGGCATGCATCTCTCTACATACATCTCTCTCTCATTACATATACACCACAATTTTAGAAATCTGTTATCTGAAATAACTAAGTCTTTTAAGCGTTTCAGGTATCAGATTTTTTTGTGTGTGTGTTTAGAATTACCTTCAAATACAAATGATATTCTAAGAATGTTATGCAAATCCAAATATGGAATTCATTTGTTCATATGTACCTTATATACATTTCAAAGAAGTAATTATTCGGTATTTTTAATGCAACAATGCTTTGTTTGAGACCTGTTATATGAGGAGAGGTATGGAATGTTCCAACTGTGGAATCATGGTGGCCAATAACTTTTAGATTTGGGGGCATTTAGGATTCTGGATTAAGGATGTTCATGCAATAATATAATAAAATGCTTACTAATAAATTAAGGTTTCTAGCTTTTAACAACAGCTTATAACAAAAAAGTTAATATGAAGCTATCAAATTTTTAAGGTAGACATTATTTCTATTAAAACTCTGTGGAAATCCCAGGCTTCTGTGGATACTGAGGAGGAATATACAGGACACATGGAGGTTAGTAAGCAGCTTTTTGTAGTCTGCTCCTTCCAGCATGTATCTCACGGACTGGACTTTGGTATTCATGTTTATGTGGCAAGTATACACTTAGCCATACACTGCTATACACTTAGCCACTGTGAAAGCCATTTTCATTTCAAGTAGCAGTATCAAAGGAATGGAGAAAGTCCATGAATAAAGTAATCAACAAACCTGTTACAAAGAAACAAACTAAGCCAAGTTCTATTGTTTTTATAATAAAACAAACTAATTTGGACAGAGATCATTTATAAACGTGGGAAAATTTTTATATTGTCACTTTTATACTAAATATTGAATTACTATAAGAACTATGACAAGGTTGGGCGCACTGGTGCACACTTGTAATCCTAGCACTTAGGAGGCAAAGGTAGTCTGATCTCTGTGAGTTTGAGGCCAGCCTAGTCTACAAAGCCAAGGCTACACAGAGAAACCCTGTCTTGAAAAACCAAAAACTAAACCCCAAACAAAACAAAACAACAACAAAACAACCTTGACAAGGCATATATAGTATGTTTTAACATATTTCTTTTATCTAGAAAAGTTAGTATTAACTATCAAGATAAAATGTGAGAAAATAGTAACTTAAAAACATTTTAATAAACACTTTTCCAAAGTGATATTAAAACTAGTTGAGAAGCTATATTATTGTTTGTTTCCTTGACAAGTTGCATATGTGAAAATCTCACTAAGTAACAGCGAAGCAAGGCATGTAAACACCTTTTTATTTTTTTTAAATTTTTTTATTATTATTAATTACACTTTATTCATTTTGTACCCCACCATAAGCCCCTCCCTCCTCCCCTCCCGATCCCACCCTTCCTCCCCTTTCTGCATGCATGCCACTCCCCAAGTCCAATGATAGGGGAGGTCTTCCTCTCCTTCTTTCTGATCTTAGACTATCAGTTCTCATCAGAAGTGGCTGTATTGTCATCTTCTGTGGCCTGGTAAGGCTGTTCCCCCCTCAGGGGGAGGTGATCAAAGAGCAGGCCAATCAGATTATGTCAGAGGCAGTCCCTCTTCCCATTACTAGGTAACCCACTTGGACACTGAACTGCCATGGACTACATCTGTGCAGGGGTTCTAAGTTATTTCCATGAATAGTCCTTGGTTGGAGTATGAGTCTCTGGGAAGTTCCCTGTGTTCAAATTTTCTTGTTCTGCTGCTCTCCTTGTGGAGTTCCTGTCCTCTCCAGCTCTTGCTATTTCCCACTTCTTACATAAAATTCCATTCACTCTGCCCGACAGTTGGCCATCAGGCTCAGCATCTGCTTTGATAGTCTGCAGGGCAGAGGCTTTCAGAGGCCCTCTGTGGCAGGTTCCTAGGTAGTTTCCCGTTTTCTTCTTCTTCTTCTTCTTCTGATGTCCATCCTCTTTGCCTTTCAGGACGGGGATTGAGCATTTTAGTTAGGGTCCTCTCTTTTGCTTAGTTTGTTTAGATGTACCGATTTTAGTGGGTTTATCCTATGTTGTATGTTTATATGAGTGAGTATATACCGATAAACACCTTTTTAAAAAGGCAACCAGCGTGCACCATATCTGAGAGGCAGAGGATCTGAAACTCCGAAATTGGTGAGTGGAGGGGCAACTGAAGCCAGAAAATCGACATTAAGGCTTCCTGAATGAGAGGGGACATCACATGAGCTGAGACCATTTAGAATCAGGTCACCTGTGCAGACTTCTCTGGAGACAGAGTGGCGAACATTTGAGCCACTTGCACTTCCCCGTTTCGGGCCTCCCTCTTCCTCCACAGAGTCTGCCCTCAGAGACTCTTAGGGATCTTACCACAGAACTCAATGCCTGGGGACTAAGACAGCAGGGGTGGGGCTCCTAGCTCCTCAGTGGTGGCTGCCAGCTGCACCAGCCCAGATCCTCAGTGGTAGCTGCCAGCTGCACCAGCCCAGATCTGCGGTACCATTCTTCTGGGTCCCGGGTCTGCGAGCAGCCATACCGACTCTGCAGGCCCTCCCAACTGACTCTTTAGACCAGTGTTGTGGCTCCCCAGGACTTCCCAGCAGGCACGTGGACCGGCCTCCCAGTCCCGCTGCTCCAGCTGGACTCCCAAGTTTGGCAGCTGCAGCAACACTGAGCTGAAGGAGCTCCTACACCCGCATTTGACCGAGCAGGCCCAAAACTGAGAGTAGAGAACAGAGGGAACCCCTGTGCTTTCTGATTTGACCTGCTAGGGAGTGAGTGCGCCTTCAAGCTCCTGTAGGGCCCCAGATCCAGGGGCCTTCTAAGCTAGCAGCCAGACATCAGATCCCTCCCACCTGTGCACCCACTGTGGGAAACAGAGGGACAGTGTTCTCAACATTAGGCCCCTGTTCTGCGGGGCTACCAGTGGAGTTTAGGCAAATAACTACTGTAGCTCAGACAGAGCTGAATAACAGTAGCTAAAGGCCACTGAGGTATTCAGGGAATCTGCAAATGGGAATTGTGCCTGTGAAGACCTTAAGCGCCTGCAATCCCTTTGGTGCCTGCACAGTGCCCCTGCTGCAAACTTCAGGAATTAACACCCTGTTAGTCAAGGCACACTTCCACGCAGACGCACACACAGAGGCATTTGTCCTTCTGCGCTAGCGAAACTTTTTCTTAGGTATAGCTGATTCACCAATACACATCTTCAAACCACTGGACGTCTCTCATCTTCCTTAAGAATTCTCCAGACAACAGAAAAAGACAGTACCAGTCTGAACTGCAGAATCCAGGAATAAAATAGTGAAGGTTACAGAGAAGCAAATGGCCAGAGGGCGGCATAAGACCACATTCAACAAAAATCAGGACGTTATGGTGTCACCAGCAACCCCCAAAATCAATGGATACTCCAATTCATCGGAAATACAGGAAATGATTTTAAAGATATGCTTATCCAGTTATTAGAGGCACATAAAGAAGAAACAAACAAATCTCTGAAAAAAAAATAGCCACACAAATGGAAGCAAATAAAGAGGAAATGAACAAAGTTCTCAAAGAAACACAGGCAAATATAGCCAAACAAAGAGAGGCACAAGTAGAGAGGAAACCAAAAAAAAAAAGAAGAGACCATTATAAAAAGACAGAAATCCACATTCAAAAAAATGAAGGAAATGGTGCAAGGCATGAAAAGAGAATTAGAATCAATAAAGAAAACACAGAGAAAACCCTGGAGTGGAGAAAATCAGGAACCACAAAGGTGAGCATCATCAACAGAATACAAGAGATGGAAGAGAGAATCTCTGGTGCTGAAGATACATTATTAAAGTTGAAATCACATATCAATCCCAACACCTTAATAAAGGGAGACTTCAACACCCTACTCTCACCAAGGGACAGATCATCTAGACAGAGCTAACCAGGGAAATAAGGGCACTTACAGAGGCCCTAATTCAAATGGACCTAATAGACATCTACAGAACTTTTCACCCAAATTCAAAAGAGTATATCTTCTTTTCAGCACCTCATGGAACCTTCTCCAAAATAGACCATATAGTTGGTCACAAAGCAAGCCTCAACAGATACGAGAAGACTGAAATAATTCCTTGGATTCTATCTGACCACCATGGTCTAAAGCTGGACCTCAACAACAACAGAAATAGCAAAAAGCCTACACACACATGGAAACTGAACAACTCTCTACTCAATGACAGCTGGGTCAAGGAAGAAAGAAATTAAAGACTTCCTAGAATTTAATGAAAATGAAGGCACAACATACCCCAAATTACTGGACACAATGAAAGTAGTGCCAAGAGGGAAGTTCATAGGACTAAGTGCCTTCAAGAAGAAATTTGAAACATCTCATAAAAGTAACTTAATGCCCCCCCCCCCCCAAAAAAAAAAAAAAAAAAAGGAAGCAGACATATCCAAGAGGCATAGACAGCTGGAACATCATACACAGGGCAGAAAAATCAATAAATTAGAAACAAAACAATTCAAAGAATCAATGAAACCAAGAGCTGGTTCTTTGAGAAAAATCAACAAGATAATCAAGCCCTTAGCCAAACTAACTAAAAGGCAGAGAGAAACTGTCAAAATCAGCAAAATCAGAAATGAAAAGGGGGACATAACAACAGACACTAAGGAAATCCAAACAATCATTAGGTCTTACTTCAAAAGCCTTTACTTCACAAAATTTGAAAATCTAAATGAAATGGGCCATTTTCCACTTACCAAAATTAAATCAAATTAGCTAGAAAGATTGAATAGTCCTATATCCCCCAAAGAAATAGAAGCAGTCATCAAAAGTCTCCCTTCAAAAAAAAGCCCAGAGCCAGATGGTTTCAGCG